TTCATAGAATATCAGGGTTGGAAGGGACTCAGAAGGTCATCTAGTCCAACCCCCTGCTCAAAGCAGAACCAATCCCCAGACAGATTTTTGCCCCAGATGGCCCCCTCAAGGATTGAACTCACAACCCTGGGTTTAGCAAGCCAATGCTCAAACCGCTGAGCTATCCCTCCCCCCATTGTCTCTTTTTTAAACTAAACAGTCCCACTCCTTTCTAATGGATGCCTCCCCGATCCTCTAAATCATTCTCATCACCTGTCTCTGAATCCTCTGTTTCTGCCATCCACTTTCAGGGATGGGGTGATCGGAATTGAACCTGGTTCCTAGATGGCATGAATAGAATCATAGAACCATAGGGTTAGAAGGGACCGCAAGGGTCATCTAGTCTAACCCTCTGCCAAGATGCAGGATTTGTTGTGTCTAAACCATCCCAGACAGATGGACATCCAGGCTCCTTTTGAAAACCTCCAGGGAAGGAGCTTCCACAATCTCCCCCCGCCCCCACCCAGGCAGTCTGTTCCATCGTCCTACTGGTCTTACCGTTAGGAAGTTTTTCCTGAGATTTAATCTAAATCTGCTATGCTGGAGTTTGGACCCATTGACTCTGGTCCTGCCCTCTGGGGCAAGAGAGAACAACATCCTTCCATCTTTTTTTGTGGCAGCCTTTCAAATATCTGAAGACCACTATCATATTCCCCTTAATCTCCTCTTTTCCAAACTAAACATCCCCAGTTCCTTCAGCCTTTGCTCGTATGGCTTGCATTCCATCCCTTTGATCATCTCTGTCGCTCACCTCTGGGTCCTTTCCAGTTTCTCTACATCCTGTCTATACATTGGTGACCAAAATGGGACACGGTTTTCCAGCTGAGGCCTAACCAGCACTGATTAGAGCAGTTCTATCACTCCCCGTGGCTTGCATGCCGCGTCTCTGTTATGCAACGCAAAATTGCATTTGCTTTATTTGCAACGGCATCGCATTGTTGACTCATGTTGAGGTTGTGATCCACCCAACTCCCGGAGCTTCTCTGCAGTGCTGCTGCCGCCAAGCCAATTTTCCCCCATTCTGTATTTGTGCATTTGGTTTTTCTTCCCTAAGCGTAGCACCTGACATTTGTCTTTGTTGAATTTCATTTCTCCAATTTATCAAGATCCCACTGAATGTAGCTCTATCCTCCAAAGTGTCGGCAACCCCTCCCCCCCAAACCTTGTGCCACCTGCAAACTTGAGCAGTATGCTCTCTATACCTACCTCCAGGTCAGTCATAAAGATGTTAAACAACACTGGACCCAGAACAGATCCCTGTGGAACCCCACTTGAGATCTCCCTCCAATCCAACATTATTCCATTAATAGTTACTCTTTGTTTGCAGTTGTTTAATCAATTATGTATCCACTTAATGGTATTCTCTCAAGCCTGCATTTCTCCAGCTTACTTATCAGAATGAAATATAGGACTGTGTCAAAAGCCTTGCTAAAGTCCAGGTATATTATGTCCCCCGCAGTCTCCCTATCCACCAAATCAGTTACCCTGTCAAAGAAGGGTAATAATGGCAGGATTGTTTTCCATCCCGTTCCTTAGGTACCCTAACTTCCGGGAAAGACCATGCCGGCCCATGGGGCCCCCTCAAAGCACAGGGCCCGGAGCAGTCGTCCCGATTCGCTGTCCCCTAGGGACAGCTCTGCCTGTGTGAAGAACACATGATCTGGCTCTTGGCGCTCAACCCTGGTAGAGATAGGTCCAAACCAAAACGCTGGGTCTGACTCTCCCGCTCCTGCAGACTTTGAATCTACCTAGAACTCAGGTGTGCTGGTAGCACTGTGGAGTGATTTAATTGGCCATCTTAATATTTCACCTGCAATGACCAAGAGAAAAAAAACAGCAGTTGCTAACGCGTTAGAGCTGGTCGGAAAAAGGATTTTCCATTTGAAATTTGTTTTCGGCCCAAACCAGGATGAAAACTCAAAATCTTGAACAATTGTGTGGAGTGGAAATTCTGAAATATTAAGTCAGAAACAGCAAACCAACCTATCAAAACATTTCAGTTCGATAATGCCAACATCCGATAATATGTGTGTAGAAGATTATAATCTATAGATAGCAACATTACATGTATTAAGCTGATACTACAACTAATTAGAAGGCAAAACTTAAAAAAAAAATTAAAAGAATGAAATGAAGTCAAAATGAAATTCTCCATTTCTATTTCAAATCAGTAAAAAAAAAAATTCTATTGAACATTTTTTGACAACACTGCGTTTTCCCATGGAAAATTTCTGTCGAAATTTTTTTCAATCAGTTCTACTTACCACGCAGAGCTGTCTGAGATACCACAGATTTCCCTGATGCTTAGAGCAGGGAACACCAGAGATAACTCAGCCATATCTGTTGGTAAGAGTGAGCTCTGTGATATTATAGACTGAGAAAAGACACCACTACTTACTACCTAAATAGCCATTTTCATCTGTGGAGTTTAACATGCATTGCCAAGGGGATGAGTATCATCATCTCCACTTTACAAATAGGGAAACGGAGGCATGGGGAGTTGATGTGACTTTCCCAAGGTCTCTCAGTGAATCGGCATCAAAGCCGGGATTAGAACCTTGATTTGCTGTTTCCAAGGGCCCTGCTCTAAACACTGGCTCACATTGCTTTACATCCTTCATTGTTCTTGAAGTCGCATAGAATTGTAGCTGTTAGAGATGGAACAATCTACCGGGTTAGCCAACAGCTCCCTGTAAACAAAGGATTCTTCCATGCAGTGTGCTATAGACTAGCACTTTATGGAACCTCTCCATAGCAATGACACAAGCGATAAGCCTTCCATCATGTCCCTTGGGGAAACAATTCCACAGCTGAATAGACTGCAGCATTAGGAAACATTGCTTGACATCCAACCATGGCTACAGCTTCTATAATCGGCTGATATATTATTAATGGGAGGCAAAATAAATACAGGTATTAATGCTAGTGGACACCACCGTGTACTAATAGCTGTTAGAGTAATGTATTCCCCTTGTTTTTAGCTTCTATTAGTCTTTTTATAGAGTGTTACAAGGCCCTTGTGAATCCATTAGCCAGTCAGCCATGTGAAATTAATGTAGAGCAATTTTCATAAGCGTTACTCAGTACTAATAATAATTAGGCATTATTTTCCCTGCAGATGACACAGAAAATAAAGTCTGACTCTTATGCCAAGATGGGTTTGCATTAGCTTAAGGTGGATGAATTAATTCTCATTTACAAGGCTGCTCTGCTAGCTAGCCAGAAAGCACCCAGGTAATTAAAACCAATTTGCTTCCCACAATCCTATTGCAGAGTTTTATCATTGCTGTAAGTCCTTGGGCTTTTATAGTGTTGCAAAGGGTGGGATATTGAATAGCCATTACTGCATGACTAAGCATTCTCTTTCAAGATAGCTCAAGAGAATCTAAGAAAGGTCTCAAAATTGAAAGGACCAGAAATCATTTTGCAACATGCCTCTTTGAGAGGTAAGGGACAGATTGTGTGAGGGTTCTGAATACCTCCTGTCATGTGTTGATGTAACCCACAAACCTCCAGGGTGTGGTGTTCTGTCCCATCTAGTGGCACCGAGACACAATAGTGAGTGAGGTCATGCAGTAGAGACTCATGCATTAAGATCTAGCAGTCTTAGGTTCAATCCTGTCCAACAATGACTGGGGTCTGTTGGTGTTACACTGAGCACCTTCAACTCTGATTTGTTTCACTGAGAGAATGCGAATGTGCTTAAGAGAGATCCCTTAATATAAATAAAATGCTATTCACTTTTGCCTTCCTTTGTGCGATGATCTATTTACCTGCAGTAGATTACTCAGCCACTAGATGTCTTGCTGTGTTGCACAGAATTCCCAATAGGGTGTTGTCATAACTATAAAGGGAAGGGTAACAGCCCTCCTGTGTACAATACTATAAAATCCCTCCTGGCCAGAGACTCCAAAATCCTTTTACCTGTAAAGGGTTAAGAAGCTCAGGTAACCTGGCTGACACCTGACCCAAAGGACCAAGGGAATTGGTGAAGAGTCTCTCAAGGCTACCCAGGGAAGGAAATTAGCACATCGGAAGTGGTGGCAGCGGACCAGATCTAAGCTGGTAGTTAAGCTTAGAAGTTTCATGCAGGCCCCCACATCTATAACCTAAAGTTCAGAGTGGGGAAGCAGCCTTGACAGGTGTAATCCCTGGTAAACAAAGGAGACAAAGCTGGAATTCAAGCTTTGTTGGTTGAGCTCTTTTTTTGAACCTGAAGTTAGTAACTGTCTTTTTTTAAAATACCTCCTGTTTAAATTACCATAATGGATGCCTTCTTTAGATGGTGACTAATGGGCAAATCGCAGAAAGTTCTCTGCTACCTTAAATTTTTCTACAGCACCTTGTACCAACTAAGCCCAACATTCGAAAGCAATGAAGGTGAGATTCTGACTGGTTAGTCATAGGCCAAATTTCAAAGCATCTTCAGTGGCTGCAATTGAAAGTCTATTTACCAGCAACTTTTCCTGCAATGATATCTGAGACACCACTGTATTTCCTGGTAATGTACTTAGACTAGGAAATAACTGCTTGCTCTGATGCAACTGTTTGGGACGTGCTGACTTTTGAAATGGTCAGGACTTTTGTTTTCCAGATTTTCTGTGTTTATTGATCTAGTCTTCGTCTGTCTCTCTGCTCTCTCTATTGTATCTCTAATCTATCACCCATCACACTGGCATAAGCTCATATCATTAACATGGAGCTTAACTGGATGATCCCACACAAGAGCATATTGGTAACTGGTAATTCCCAGCTCCTCCACACACTCCCTGTCTGACATTAAGCAAGTAACTTAGCCTCCTGATGCCTCAGTTTCCCAGCAGGGATGTTGTGAGGATAAATCCATTAAAGACTGTGATGTGCTTTGAGAGCTACTGATGAAAAGTCTCTATAAGAGACCGGTGTTATTATGCAGATTTCTATAAAGGAGAGGAGAGTTGGGATGGTGAAATCGATTTTTATTATGATTTAAAAATCATCACTAGCAAAATAATAACATAGAAAAACAAAAGGCGCGAAGAAGCAGGAGGTGCAGGCTGCTTCCCAGCGCTGGAGTGAAGCCGCTTGGAAATCGTGATGTTATCCAGTCCTTGGGGGATGAAAGGCTTCCCTTCCCTGGCCGTCTCCACCTGGATCCACTCCAAGTAGTTGAAAATGAAGGTGTACATTCCGGGATGCTGTTTTTCCCCGCAGCCTTCTCCCCAGCTGACTATGCCAAGTGCAAACCACTTCATGACGTCTCCATAGGTGCAAACCAAAGGTCCCCCGCGGTCTCCCTAGAGGTTAAAAAGAGAGCAGAATGGGATGATGAACAACATCTTTTACAGCAGCTGGATCCCAGAGTTAAGCCAGAGGTGGGCTTGACTGGGGAAAATCAGATTTTCTATAAGGTGGATAGAAAGCTGGCTAGATTGTCGGGCTCAACGGGTAGTGATCAACGGCTCCATGTCTAGTTGGCAGCCGGTTTCAAATGGAGTGCCCCAGGGGTCGGTCCTGGGGCCAGTTTTGTTCAATAACTTCATTAATGATCTGGAGGATGGCGTGGACTGCACTCTCAGCAAGTTTGCAGATGACACTAAATCTGGAGGAATGGTAGATACACTGGAGGGTAGGGATAGGATACAGAGGGACATAGACAAATTAGAGGATTGGGACAAAAGAAACTTGATGAGGTTCAACAAGGACAAGTGCAGAGTCCTGCACTTAGGACGGAAGAATCCCATGCACTGTTACAGACTAGGGACCGAATGGCTAGGAAGCAGTTCTGCAGAAAAGGACCTAGGGGTTACAGTGGACGAGAAGCTGGATATGAGTCAACAGTGTGCCCTTGTTGCCAAGAAGGCTAACGGCATTTTGGGCTGTATAAGTAGGGGCATTGCCAGCAGATCGAGGGACGTGATCATTCCCCTCTATTCGACATTGGTGAGGCCTCATCTGGAGTACTGTGTCCAGTTTTGGGCCCCACACGACAAGAAAGATGTGGAAAAATTGGAAAGAGTCCAGCGGAGGGCAACAAAAATGATTAGGGGGCTGGAGCACAGGACTTATGAGGAGAGACTGAGGGAACTGGGATTATTTAGTCTGCAGAAGAGAAGAATGATGTGAGGATTTGATAGCTGCTTTCAACTACCTGAAAGGGGGTTCCAAAGAGGATGGATCTAGACTGTTCTCAGTGGTACCTGATGACAGAACAAGGAGTAATGGTCTCAAGTTGCAGTTGGGGAGGTTTAGGTTGGATATTAGAAAAAGCTTTTTCACTAGGAGGGTGGTGAAGCACTGGAATGGGTTACCTAGGGAGGTGGTGGAATCTCCTTCCTTAGAGGTTTTTGAGGTCAGGCTTGACAAAGCCCTGGCTGGGATGATTTAGTTGGGGATTGGTCCTGCTTTGAGCAGGGGGTTGGACTAGATGACCTCCTGAGGTCCCTTCCAACCCTGATATTCTATGATTCTATGATTCTAAATACCGAGCCCTTCCGAGGATGAAAATTTCACAGAGCAGGCCCAGCTCTGTGAGATCCCCCTGGAGCAATTCAGCAGGGAAGGTGCTTTCTCAGTGTAAGATCAGGATGCCGGTCAAGGATCATGGGCAGCAGGAATTCAAGCTACCCCCACACCACCCCATCAATGTGCTTTAACCTTAAAAGACAACCTCTGCAAGAGAGAGAGAGAGAGAGAGAGAGAAAGAGAGAGGGTAGCTCAGTGTATGGGAGAGACCATTCAATGCTTGGCCCTTCCACAAAGACTACTAATGAGGCCAGAGGCGGATTAAGGTTTCATGGGGCTCTGGGCCAGAGCAAGTGGGGAGCCCCTCCCCACCCCTTCTGCCTGCGGCCCCGCCCCCATTTCTCCCCTTCCACCTGTGGACCTGCCCAAGGCCCCACCCCATTCTTCCCCTTTCCCCTGAGGCCCGCCCCCCCCCATTCCACCCACGGTTCCGCCCCATTCCACCCCCCCCACTGGTGTAATGCAACCCATTTGCTCCTTTCTGCCCCCCTCCTCACTGTGGCCCCAAGACTGAAGAAGCTCTGTCTCCCCTCTCCCCAGCCACAGTCCCAGGGCCGCAGTGGGGAGTGAGAGCTCCCCCAGCCCTGAGGCCGTGGCAGGGAGCGAGAGCTCCTCCAGTCCCGGGGCCACAGCGGAGGTCTGGGCCCTGGGGCTTCCCCCACCCCACCCCACCCACCCAGTGCTCCTTCCCCCGCCCCGCCTGCCCGGCGCTTCTGCTTTTTATGGGCCCCCCCAATTGTCCAGGGCCCCTGGGCACGGGCTCAGTCGGCCCATTGGCTAACCCACCATTGAAGGAGGGGGGGCCAGCTAGTGGCCAGTCATGGCTGGTGGGGGTGGGGTTGAAATGCCATTTCAGCAGCTCATTAGCAAACTATGAACAATCAATCCCATCAAACCTTTCTGTAACCCAGCAAAGGGCACGGAGACCAAGCTCCCATTTACAGAGGAGACCAGCTGATGCACACAAACCTCCACCCTGCATTATTGACACACTGAAAAGGCAGGTGCCCGCGTTTGCTAGTGTGGCCTGAAAGAGAACGATTTGTTGAGTTTCCAGTACAAATGTAGCCAGGCAGCCCTGTGTAAGAGAGAGCGAACCACCATGCTGTACTGATCAAAAAGCACCCGGTAAGCTACAGCCTCTCTCTTGTAAATTTCATACGACTTCATTTCAGTCTAAGTGCTTTCAAGGCGATGCTGTAAATATTACAGACGTATCTCTCTCGCCAGGCCCCACCATTTTACTGTCTTGTCTCCAATAACTGATGTGGCGTGTAAGGAATGCAGTCTGAACACGTTTCCACGGGCAGAGCCGGCTTTCCTAGGCAATGCTGTCTCTCGCTTTCATCCCCATTTGAAAAGTGTCTCTGACGACGGCACACGCAGCCTCCTCCATATGCAGCTCCCCAGAACCGCTCCCTTGGATTCACTAATGAGCAAGGGAATGGGCTTGCTGTTCCCACCGAAATCTACAGCAGAGATCCTTTTGGCTTCAACGGATGCGGAGTTCAGGCCCACAGGGTGTTTATATATTTTTTTTCAGGGTGCCTTTTAACTGCAGGGAAAAATACTGCTAAATGTGGAGTAAATGTTGCCTAAACTCATTGTATTATTTATTCATATTCATATTGCAGTAACACTTTGGAGCCTCAGTCACAGACCAGGGTCCCATCTGAGCTGGACACTACACAAACATAGAAGCCAAAGACGGGCCTTGTCCCCATTTTAACCATATAGTTCAATGGGTCGTATTGATGCTCTCCTTGCAATGTTCTCTGACTCATGCACTCTTACTAGCCTTAGGTACAATGTCCCATTTGACCATACTGCTTCGAAGGCCCACACTCTTTGAAATCAATGGGTACTTTGCTAGTGTAAGCAGAGTCAGGATGAGCTCTACCCTGACATCTGGTGGTGAATTATGGCGAGTGTGGAAAAGAACTCCAGGGGCGGATCTTGTTTGCATAGGCCCACCCACACGCATAGCATGAGCCCACAGCAACCGAAAGTGGTTACTTTGGCTGGTGTGGGATCCCCAGTTTCTCTGTTATTGGGGCAGGAAGAATAAAGTTTTGTTACCCTGATTCTGTGAATCAAGGCCAGTGGAACTGTTGTATGACAGAAGGACTGAGTGAATCCTTCACCATTACCTAAGTAGCATTTGCTTGTCAAGGGGCATGGGTTACAAAACCCAGTGAATGGAGAGAGGATGGGGACAGGTATTTGTACCTGATGGTATGGGCCCCCTCTGAGGGTTTGAAGCACCAATTGCACCGCCTCCTCTCTCCACTGTTGAATGTCAGAGCTAACTTTGATTCCCTTAGGAGTCTAGTTACAGGCTGCTGAGCTGAATTCACTTTGGGCCAATGGTGCACCAGCACTGGGGCTCCCCTACTATACTATGAGCTGAAATCACTAAGAGCTGAAATCACAAAAGAGCTGATGTTATTAAGAGCTGAGATCACTGAGTGCTGTGTTAACTAGTGGGGGAGCCTGAAGCTATATTGCTCAGCAGGTGGCGGAGCAATTTGTGGGGACGACTGGAGGAGCAGTGAGCGGCGTGGAGCCTTGCGGGGCCGGTTGGAGTGGCCCAAGGAACGGCGAGCGGAGCTGTTTGCGGGGACGGCTGGAACGGCTCACAGGTCGGTGAGCGGAGCGGAGCGGAGCAGCTTGTAGAGCGGAGCAGTTCGTGGGACGGCAGAAAGTGGACGGGCTCGTGGTAAAGGCTGCGGCGGAACACCCACGGAGAAACAGACGGCTGGCCAGCCTGGATCACGTAAGGTGCCCCTTAACACCCTGCGTGCCCCCCCTTTTTTACTCTGGGGCTGCACTGACCAGGGACAGAGACTTTGGGGGTTGTTGGACTTTTGGGACTTTGGGGGTTGCTGGACCCAAGAGACTTTGGGGGTGTTGGACTTTGGGGACTCTGGGTGATTTTTGGGTTGTTGGATTCAAGAACCAAAGGGAAAGGACACAGCCCAATTTGCTGGGGTGGGTTTTGCTCATGGTTTGTGTTATGAATCCTGTTTGTGGTGTTTTTTTCAATTTTGTGCTGATGTCGTTTACCTCATGTTATTAAACATTTTCTGCTACACTCAGACTCCGTGCTTGCGAGAGGGGAAGTATTGCCTCTTAGAGGTACCCAGGGGGGTGGTATGTAATTGTCCCAGGTCACTGGGTGGGGGCTCGAGCCGGTTTTGCATTGTGTTATTGAAACGGAACCCCTAGATACAGAACCCGGCCCTTGTTGCTGCCAACTTAGATGGGCAGAAGGGTTACACTAGCGACTTCAGCAGAGGCAGGATCAGGCCCCGCATGCCTTATGCTGTAGCAATGAGGTTGCATGTCGTGCATCCTACTGCAGTATGAAAAGCAAAGCTCGTCGAGTGGGTGTAATTTACAAGCTATATCGTCTCAGAGGGTGCCTGCTAACAATGGCTTACACTTATGAAGGGTTTTTTACAAGAGACCATCAGCACTGCTTGACCCAGCTTAGCGGGGTAGGTCCCCCTTTTATAGCTGGGAAAACAGAAGCAGAGACGTGATCTGGTTTGTACAAACTAGGGCGTCAACGGCAGCATAGGGAATAAAACCCAGGAATCCAGTATTCAAAGTTCTAGGTCACACAGCCAAGGCTGCAGCTCGTAGAGTTTTCATTTTACCCCGTCACTATTTCCCCCCCCCCCGCCCCCAATTAACGATCGTGCAGGTTTGTCTCTTCCTTTGCACTGCCTGGTGTGCAGCTGGCATTCAGTCAGTGCTTAGGTACGGA